TTCTCCTCTTTCTCATTCTTGTCTTTTTCTGCCGAGACAGGCAGAATTTGTGGGAAAAATCGTGCTATTTCTCATTTTCAGGAGTGCACACTGATGAAACTTAAGTTTAAAAATCTTCCTAATTTGAAGCGAAAATCGCTCATTTACTCTGTAATGGTAGCGGTAGTAATAATCATGTGTTGAAACCTCAGTTTTTATAGGTTTTGCTGTGGTTGATGCAATAACAAATTATGCGATTTTTCCAAAACGCAAGACTTTCAGAAAATTATTTAGCAATAATCAAAAAAAGCGTCTGAAAAAAAGAAAAAATTTGCGTAACCTGGCAAAAGGTTTGCCCTATCTTGTGGTTATTAGGGCTCCTCCAAAAGTCTCATACAAAAATTTTGAAAATTACTGAAAGTTGGACATGGTAAAAACGAGTGGTTGTAATTTCCAGCAAATATCTCGTCATCCTCGCAGCGAAACACAATGGGAGTTTGACAGCTAGAAAGAGGACGAAATTCCATCGAATGCATTTTGAAGGGCTTGTTCATCTTCATTCTAGCGTGTTTGCCGACGGATTGAAAAAACTGACAAAACTTTTACACCGACCTAATATTAAAGTATATAAGCTATAATATATGTATGAGTAATCATAAAAAATGCGCAATGGGGAATATTTCTTACAGTTCCTTCGAATATTTCTAATGTATTCGCTTAGAACAATTCGATATCGCATTTACCAAAAATTTTGTGGCAGAAACATGTTTGTGCTAGTGAGTGCTACCAAGTTTACTGAAGTGGCCAAATCTAATCCGCTCCCTTATTTCTTACAAGAAAAGGCCTTGTCAACGTAAACAGAGCGTACCTGTGGCTCATCTTTTCTACAATTTTTAATAAAAAATTGGGTGGCGGATAAGCTTTGTATGAATCTTGACTAAGTAATACATGTAGGAAATGAATATTTTTACCCACATTTTTAACTGAGTACGTCTCTTCAAATTAGCAACAATTCATCATAGTCTCTCTCATAGGCGAAAGTTCGAATTGAATCATTCGATAAGAATAATTTGTTTAATAGCCAAAACATTTGCAATCTCTCCCACTGTGTGTCTGCACTTGATATCAATCAGCAAAAAACTGATTTTGATTCTTGTTCTTCATTTTTTGTTGCCAAAAATTTAGAACAAGAATCAAGAGTAATTTTCTTATACAGTACTGGCCAAAACTATAATTCCACCCTGAAAACTGCCGTAACTCATCTGCTTCTCAACGAATCAATCTGAAATTTGGTACAGTTGTGTGCTTAACAGTCTACTATCAGTAATTGAAACGGGTCCCATTTTTATTTTATTATTCAGGAAAAAATCAAAAAATTCGAAAAAAGCAGGTTTGAAGGTTGGCCAAAACTATAATTCCACCCAAGGTTTCTGTCCGCTAAAGTAATTCTCTTAATTTTGAACACCCGTTTCCACTTCCGGTCTAGCGCATAAAGACGTAATTTCCAAAAGAATACAGGGTGACATTTAAACCCCTCCCAGTCAACGCTCCAACCCTACCCCCACAATGGAGGGCACCCGTCTTGTCATTCAAGAGACTTTCGATGACCAGAACTTTCCTTGTCCTTGCGATCAAATGTTGAGGGTAGCTCTACCACCGCGCCGTATCTCACGCAAGCAACATTCCTCTTACAGCGTGTAAGAATTGCGGCGTCCAGCAAGGCCCAGGGCTCGCCAGGGTGGTTCTGTCGGGCCGTAGCCTAGACGGCCGGGGCTGACCCGAAAACTACATATGCAGGGAATCCTGTAAGGGCCGAGGCCCGCCCGAATGGTCCTTGGGCCGCGGGTGTTGCGATAAAATATTTGAGGCCTGCGGCCTTTCCGTAATGGTAACCTCGGACCGCGGGTTGCCAAGCAAGTAAATTTAGGGCCACCGATGGTCGGTCCAAGAATTTGACGCCTAGCCGCCAAAGGGTGCCGTTAGGGGCCGCGGGTGCTCACAATAATTGTCTGAGATGAGATGGGAAATGCATGTGGCTACTTCTTAGTCGTCAACTCTCAAAAAGGGATTTACAGAAACTTAGAGGTTATTTCATGCGTTACCATATTGTTTCCTATTGCATCGATCTTACAAGGGAACCACGTTTAGTCGAAGTGGCCTTTTTCGATGGGATGAATACCATGTTAGAGAGCATGAAGCGCTGATTTCAAGCTTCCTCATTTGCAAAACGTTTATCAGTGCGGAGTTGTGAGCTTTTAATAGAGCAAAAAATTACGTGTGCAACCAGGAGAAAAATTGTCATAATAATTTTTCTTGCGCTTAAGTGGAGAATGATGAATATGAAGCACCTTATTTAAAATTCGTACAGATAAATAAATCACACTTGTTCAAGTGCTAGGGAGATTTTAGCAGCTCATATAATACTAAATGCGCTTTTTCTTTTTTGCTTCAATAAATGCTCATAATCCTCGTCCACAAACGTTTTGCAGATAAGGGACGCAAAAATTGGGAATCAGCATTACATGCTGTTCAATATGGTATACCTACCAGAAATGCCACTTCGACTAAACATGGTTCCCTACATTAAGAAATATTCTTCAACGAGTTGTAAATCTCCTAGTAAGTTGCAGATACAAAGCGCTGTGGGTGAAGTATTGGATCTCGACGACAATGTCTAAAGAATGAGAATTGTTTAACATTTTGCAAAGAAATTATAGCGATGTTTGGCAGCATTCCTATAAAGCAAGCGCTTGAGTGATGGTTGGCCATTAGAGAACTTAAACTTACATAAAGGGCATGTTTCAATGAGGTGGGGTTATGCGAACTTCTAACGTCATGTCTTATTTACATTTAGTTCAATAATAATATCTACTAAGCTATAAATCATGAATCATTTATCTTTAGAGGTAGATAGCGATGTCGGTCCGAGAGGAAAAGCCTTTTCTATCCTCTCATTTTGCGAGGTCAAAAAAATCAGAATGATGTTTGAGCATTTTGCAAAATCCAAATTAACTTTATCAATTTTGAAGGGGTGAGGTGTGGCTACCGCCATACATCTTTTTTGAGAATTTACAGGGTAATAACGCAGCTAAAAATCTGGGACATTTCAAAAAGATTCCGCAAGGTGTGGCTAATATTACCCATCTTTCTGCAAATCCCTCCCCTCCCCGCCCCCCCCCCCCTTCTTTCGTCAAAAACCTTAAAAACATCTCAAAAATTTCTGCTCATAGCGTGCTTAATACCAGCACTTCTTTATCTGAAGGATTTTTCGTTCCCCTTCCCTCCCCCCTTTTCTCCCGCTCGCTGAAAAACTAGGAAACTCCCAAAAATGGCTTAACGTTGTCGCGTCGCTCCTATCAGTGATCGATAGCTACAGTAGCTCTTTTGGATGTGACTGATTACTGCACTATCAACGTTAACAGAACAGAAAAAAATTTTCAATTCGGATGGCTACAGTTTGCTCACAATCTTCGACTTTATCTAACTATCCTTCAGGTGTGGGCTAAATCGCTTGATACAGTAATCCTTATGTAGTGAGCTACAGTAACTCCGGCGACTTACTGTAGCTTCAGTATCGTCGGCTACCAGCTGCTGCCGTAATTTGCTGCAAATTTTGATCTCTTCTTTCCATATATTTCTTTGCCTTTAAAATGATAAATCTCAACATTTCCGAGAACAGTTTTTACCTCCTTCTCAAGTTCGCATATATTGCAAATCACTTTTTTCATGTTTGAATTAATGAATCCACCTAATGCAAAACTGTACCTCCAACCTCTATTTGTACGCATGAGTGACCAGACCTCAGTCAAGCCCACAGAGGGCCTGATAAGGCGCGAGTTCGGTGGTGATTGCAAGACACTCATCTTTTCTTTTAAGAGTTATCATACCAATCTTGGTCAAGCTCAGCAATCTCACCGAAAAGCATTACACGTTCGACCCACCTAAAAATGCATTTTTTACCGAAAAATGGTGTATAAAAATAATAATATCTATACAAATCGAAAACAAAGTACTTGTAAACATTTTAATAATTATATTTCATACAAATCCAGTTCAGAAATTTTGACTAATTGAACTGGATAATTTTATGATTTTCACCACTTTTTATATCCCCCCCCTCCCCCGGTCGACGCGGCAATTTTTTCACTACCCCCCCCCCCGGTCCTAGACATTCTTCACTTTTGAGGATCAAAATCAGCCGAGACACCCTTCACCTTGGAGGGACCCGGCTCACCCCATCGCACCAATGCTCAGAAAACAAGTTGGGAACAAATTACTAATGTGGCAAGAAAAGGTTTCAAACTTCCTCAATATCTAAAGCGATTTGTGGGCTTCTGAAGGTAGATAAGTAAGTAGGTCAGAAACAAGGCTACAAAAGCTCATGCAGACTGACCTTCTAAGGGGCAGTACCTGTCCTCGTCAACTTTATCTCCAAAGCTTTTTCACCTCCACACGAATTTGGGATCCGATCACACATCAAGGCTACTGTATGACGAAGGCGCATAAGAAGTATAAGTTGATCGGGAGCGAGCGCGACGCGCGCGTATCCTCATCGCAAATCCTGCGCCTCATGCGCTTTGCGGCTAATAAAGCCGCGTTCGCGCCCACAATTATTGGATCTTCGTCATGCAGCAGCCTAGTATATACATAGTCCATTTTTAAAATCGTGACGATGAGTTGACTGCGGTCTCTGCACACACAGAAGCATAAAACACCCATACGAACAAGCAACACCTCAACGCTCAGCTCAGTCACTTACAGTGTCTGAACACTATCATATGTAAGCAGAAAAACTTTGGGTAGAGATAGAAACCATGCAGGGGGATTGCGTGCCTTTACCCTCGCGCCATCGTCACAATTTTTCGAATTCCCTATACCTACATCTTTGAGCTAAGTTCGCATGTTTTATGAATAAGATAAGAAAGACCCCACATAATGGTATGCACATATGCACGAGCCAAATGCGCGAAAAACATTTGTGTGAATTTCGCCCAAAATGACGGTCGTCAACGTGTTAAGGAGCCAATCATACTGTCGAGATCTGTGTGTTCATTCTGGCTCTGCAAGCCGAGAGAAAAAGATTGTCACTACGCATTCGCAGACCTAACGCAATATTACGACATTGACTCAACAGTTTCCGTGGCGAGTGCCGTCGCAGATCGCTCCCGTACTTTCGTCGCTAAAAAGTTGTGTTATGAGCAACTGTCTATTCTTGGGTTCCTCTCGCCTAGCATGTTCGTTACTGCGTACTCATGCTTCTCGCAAACTGCCCTCCACTTTGCGGATTCATTCATCTGCTGTCGACTGGAAAGTAAGAAGGTCGGAAAAGATCAAGAAGGTGTGTTTTTGCTATTCTATGATGCACAACGGCAAAGATTATTCTCTCAGCCTAAAATTATGTGCGAGTTTGGTAGTGCATATTCTACATGCACAGCACGGCAATAAAACGTTATACAGTCAGTAACCAGATTCTTCACTTTAGAAGTCATCGTCTGTTATCCATTCTGCTGCCGTAACCGCTGAGAACACTTTTGTGCAAGGTGCGTTAAAAGAAATGAAAGATGTAGAAACAATTTTAGGAGAGGAATTGGCTAAGCACTTTTCACTGCAGGTAGGGAACCTGCTATGATGTATCAACATTCAGGAGAAAATTAGTCGTTTCGTTCAGGTTGACCTACGCGTGTATGAAGATTTAATGGTGAAACTGGAGAAGGGAGACGTGAGTGACTTCTCACTATCGAGTCATCTAGTATCATGACGTATTCTAGGAGCATAAAATGAGCCATCTTGGACGGGTATCATTGAAAAGTCCCACTATGGTCATGATTAACTTCGCGGATAACCCATCAGCTATCAAATGGGCGAAGCTAGCGATACAGGTAGTAAAGGAGTTCTTGTCTTGCCCCACCTATTTTTTGAAGTTGAAGTTCACCTTTTTTACTGCTGTTTGAAACTCTTCTACAATCAAAACAGCTAAGTGCAATGTTTCTCACACATAAAAAATATATGCAATTCTATCTTCGTTTTTTCAGAAATCATATCTCAATGTAACACCTCAACATGAAGGGGTTGTGCTGTATTTGCCCGTACCTAGGATGACACGAGAACGGAGAGAGCAACTTGCACATGATGCCAAAGGGAAGATCTTCAATGAATATAAGAGAGCGTTAAATGATGTAAGTACCAGTTTTCCATTTGTACCACTTCGAAAACTAACTAAATTCCCAGATTTACATTCAATTTGAAAAGAAGTCAAGTCAAGAGTCCACTAAACCCGACGAGGAGCGACATACACGTCAATTACTGCTAGATCTCAAGCATGCAATGGAGACGAAAGGCGCAGAGCTCATAGAAAGCAAAAGAAAAGAGTTGTTGAAGGAAATGGCATGATCATTTTCAGCTAGCATCTGCTCACTCTATATGCTAGGTAAAAATGAAAGAATTCAGATTCCTATCTGTTACAATGATGTATTCCCATTAACACGTAATACACGTCACGTCACCATTCAAATCTTTAATTTATTACCAATAGTTAATTGAAAATATACATTATCGTACGCATTTATCCATAAAAAACGAAAAAGTATCAACAAAACTCCGCCTTGAGCGAAATCCCATTCTGTGCAGGTGGTTGGTGTCCCGTCTATTACTATTAAACTTTAACATCAGGTAGTTGCCGGTATCCGTTCTTGTCGATCACCACCACCTGTAATGATTCAAAAGTTAGCAACAATACAGTATCGCGTCGCTGTCAATCATTATCAGAGTATATTGAAAGTTGTTATTATAAAATAGTATCTCTATAATTCTGGCTAAAGAGGTCCAGTAAATCTTAACACTGCTAAAAACTAGACTTTTTATCACTGAAATCAATGAATTCTGAACTCGGCACAAAACAAATGAAATAATGTGACATTTCGCGAATTACGTCTAGATATTAAACTTACCATATGTCGTAACAACAACAACTCATAACCTATACAAAATGGAGTCTTTGGTCATTGTCAATTAATAGCTCAAGGCGATTGAGAAAACTCCCTCTATTATAAAACACCAAAAAGTTCAAATATATTCGGATCTCAAAAACTTCCATCTAATCCATACTCTTTCCTTCATTGGGAATCAACAGTTTTCAGAACTGAAGCGATCTGGATATACAAAAACATTAATTTAGGATTAAGTGTCCAGATTCTCCCCCCCCCCCTCCTCCTCCTTTAGGTGGGATATAAATGAATGCAGCTGCAGTGTCTTCGGAGGAACCTTCGCCCTCGCACAAAGAAAGACTTTTGTATATGCGAAGTCTGAAAATGATCAGCTTTTCGCAGAGAACATTCATATGAACCCTTAAAACCCTTTGAATTACAGAAACTCTGAAGGAAAGAAAATGCACACAAAGTCAATACTTTCACGACATAGCGTCATGCAGATTCAGTCAAAGTAAGAGCTAAATAGGCTAGTACCAGTATCGCATCAACAATAAATATTGTCATACTACATTGCGCTTGAAAGAAACAAAAGTTTTATGAAAATAAAAGAGTGAAGAATTATTATTTCTAAAATGCTGACCTTGTAACCAGGGATGTTAGCAACAAATCGTTTCTTCGCTTCTGCAATGCACTTGTTCAAGAGTGAAAGCCCTTCAGCCTCAGACATATCTGAAATATTATTTTCCAGGATTGAGACTTATGAATTTGTATGAAATAATTTAATGACTCACTTTTCTTATATTCTTTATCTAGAATCGCATAACAGAAGCGACCACAGAAGCCACGAAATAGGTAAGACTGAATGGAAAAGGAAAAGTGAATCTTAACTAGTAGACACAAAAAAAAGAATAATTAGGTACCTGATTGCCTATACCATTCCCTAAATAATCCACTGATCCGAGAAAAGCCTTCTCTTCTTTGTCGTCATACCTGGATAAGATCTGCATCACAATCAGAACTTTTCTTCAAAAGCGCAATCAACATAAACCCGAGATTGGTGAGGTTTTGATGCACTACAATAACGAGTCCCCCAATAAGTGATCAAGTCCCGTTGCAAACTATTCCGAAGCGAGGAAATCGCTCAGAATCTTGGTGCAGCTGATTACTCCACCCCCATCAACGTGGAAGGTCTCAACGTTATCACCTCAATCCAAAATCAATAGTACATGAAAAATCAAGAACCCGCCTTTCATGGCGAAAAACATATTTTCGACGTTTCACGGTATTTGAAGTCCGATGGACTCATTACTTTTGGGCTACCCATGTTACTGATAGGCCTGGTGAACTAAGCACCACCCGCCTTACAGACCGAATTTCTCGCGTATACATTTTGCAGCGGGACTTGCAGTTACCTAGTCAGGGGCCTCGCTTTTGTACTGCATCAATATGTTAACCATCATCTGACCAATTCAAGTTTAGGATGGGCAAGCCTTTTGATTGAAATGAAAATTTTTCGTCACTCGCACAAGACAGAAAGCTAGGCATGACGATATAATAGCATACGATATCAACCACAGACCCGCCAAGAAGAATATCAACGGCGTAATAATCTTCTGTTCTTAAGGCTTCAGCGATGCCACGCCGTATCCAATGGTGGGCACTCTTCGGAGATAACTCATAACCTTGAAAAAAACCATTAAGTGTTTTATTTCAGCAAGGAGACGATGGCTCACCATTACGAATAGCATAAAGCTGGATGTTACGCTTAGTCCAATCTCCAAACTGGGCAACATCACCTTCCTCTCCTATGCACATCATGGTCAACTTCTTTCCCAGGCGATACTCCTTGTCATTATCTGTAAAAATCATGCTAAATGTTACTCAAATTTTGTTTCGAAGAAGATCACAATAATCATTATGTAGTGGACTTTTTATTCAGATGTGGGATAAAATGCAACTTTGGATTATCACCGAAAACTACTACCATCATGCCAACCATAAATACAGAAAAGTACAATATAGTAAAACTTTCTAGTTTTCGCTACGTCACTCAAAACTCACTGTCATCTGCCAATACTGCTCCGTAAGCGAATGTTGCTTTATCACTGGCAAGAATAACATATTCGTCTGTGGCAATGCCAATGAGAAAGTGCATTCCTCCTGCCATTCTGCTAAGAAAATAAGTCAGTTGACCGTGGTAGCACATACAAGACGATCAGCACGAAGAAAAATGCAAAATTCAAAAATGTTGATATTGTTCAATTTTCTTCAAGCCGTAACAGGTTTTTAAAGGAACACTTTATTTACTGCCCGACGTTTCGGCTGAATGCCGTCTTCTTCAGGGGTCTAAAAGCGAGTCAATCACTCATAAACCAAACGGCGGCGCCGCGTTATGGAGCAAAGGTACGCCGCATTTGCCTGTGGTATATCCTGAGGGCCCTTTGCGTTGCGTCGCTCCTAATTGCAGTCGCAGACGAGCTAGTGCTACTGAGTCATTTTCCTCATCCTTCATAGATAAAGAGATCAAAACGTGAATGATATACGCATTTCGAACAAAGAATATGAGGTAGGAGTGTCTGCAAAGCAAGCCAAGAGAAAGTAAAAGATGAGGAAGTAATTTTTCTTGGGAAGTTACTGACGGAAAATTTCTATCCGTTTTCTCTAATTCTCATGTTCTACTTCTCTTGAACACTTTTAACTCAATATCTAGTATTGGATCATTCCAGAATGAGCCTTTGATTCATCCCTAAAACTCATCTATTTTGTTTTGAATTTTCTGAATTTAGTCTTCTTTGTTGTCTTTATTGCATTAATACAGTTTGAAATCTGGTCGGTAACAGGGAATGGCTCAATCCGCTGGCAGGAGCAGCGTTACTCCTGAGCAATTAAAGGCGACGCAACGCAAATGGCCCTCAGGATATACCGCAGGGTAATGCGGCGTAACTTTGCTCCATAACGCTTGCCCCCCAACCAAACGATCTAGACAAGAAACATGTTAATGCTTGAAGAAAATTGAACAATATCTACAAAACATACCAGGGTTTTCAAAAAGGAGACATACAAAATTGTTGAATTAACAAAAACAGAGCGATATATAATACTCGCTTGCAGGCAAAGTGTTTACCGAATTTTTACAAGAAAATTATTCTTGAATTTGATGATTTTGAAAATTTCAGCAACGAAGCTCCACGCGCTAACAGTCGCGCTGCTATAGCGTCGTCTCGCGCGTTGTTGCGTCATGAAACAACGTGTGCTCTTCGGCCACTCGTGCCTCAAAGCTTCCTTGTCGTGATTTCGCTCAGACTTGGTCCGGAGGGTTAAATGACATGCTGATCACGAATATCACACCTTCTTCTTGGGAGTACGCCTTCCTCATGCGGCCACGGTAGGTGTACGGGAGGGAGTCAAAGTCCAAAGACTTGCTCAAAATTTGTCGAGGGTTTGGCACACCGAACATAAATATCATATCGAATTCGCACGGCAGCTCAACTTTTCGTTTTACGGTGGGTGTGCGGTAGGAGGCTCAAGATTCCATGTTGGTGAAAACTTTAGACGGTTTTTCTGCTGATTGCAAATGTCATACTCTTATTGATTTTATTGAAGTCTTCGCAGGGTTACGGTAGGTGCACGGTAGGCCGCCAAAAGCGCAGATTACTCAGACATTTTTTGTCTTGCGGCCACCTGCGCGCTCATGGCCGGCTGGGCGAAAACTCATGCCTGAGCTGCCCCTGCCATGCTAGCGCGGCCAGCAACGGTCCAGTGTGTGCAGCGGCCCTGTCACCCGAATGAGCGGGCCATCCTGTCCTTCAATGTCTCCTTTGCCTTGTTCGCCCGCGCTAGCATAGCAGGGCCGCCATCCTGAGAGTGGGTTTCTGCTCGACTGCACCTGCATGCACAGTTCACCTCAAATTTGGGTACAACTCATGTAAAATCAAAAACAGTGGGAATCGTTCCTGCTTCACATCGCTGATCGAACGAGATTATTTGAAACCCCATCAACGGTCAACTCAGAAGGTAACCTGTTGTCAGCCTACAGGCAAGTGTTACACCTCCTGCAAGCTCCGATAGCGTCCCCTTTACTGCGTCGTATCTCACGCGAGTAACCCTTGTGCTTACAACGTGCTTGCGTTAATTTATATGGCTGCGCGGGCCGCCATGAAATTATGAGCCTAAACAGGCGTGTCGGCCACTGTCAGCATGGCATCGACTACGTGCGCGGGTCGCGGGCCAGCTCACACTTGTGGGCCGCTGCTGGGCCTGATGCATGTAAGGCTGAGATTTAGGTGCCACGGCTCAACAGTGAAGCCCAGTTGGGCGACCGGGCCGCTGCAACAATTGTCCGAGTAGCCTAAAAAGTTGTGCAGGGCGGTTATCTGAGTGCAGAATGAGTGCAGAATGTCGCATTCATTTCACATGGTAAGCCTTTTTTGTGGTTTGTGAGATCTAAAAAGGCTTGAAAAGCGTGAAAAGTGTTAAACTACACCTGCAATCACCACAACACAACAAAGGCGTGCAGCATGCGGGCATGATGTGCGCAATCAGCATCAAAAACTGCTCTAGGCAAAGGTTTGAGCAAATTTGGAATTGTGCTACCTTGCGAAATCAATGTGATATTTATATATGTACGTTCAGCGCCAGATAATTCCCCTAGGCGAACCTTGGGACGAGGCCTGATTTTGACCATACTGTATGATACATTCCGTAACTCCGTAAAAAACTCCACTATAATTAGCATGTCAGATAACGCTTGTAAACCATATTCAGCCAGGATTATGATTCGGTCCCCTTGCGTGTACTTACCGTAACCACACGAGAAGGCTTCGTGCGAAAGTTGTGATGTTCGTGATCAGCTTATCAGCCTCTCTACGAGATACGAAGCGAAAGCTATGACTTAAAAATGCTGGGACCCTGATAGCCACATAGCGCTAATTAGCGTTCGATGTTGATGCATGCCTATCAAGTCACACTTGAATATCGTTAATTATATGACTGAAAGACTCGGAACCTTTTTGTACAATCTCACAAGCTTGATCTTGTTCTCAGCAAATGTGTGCCTTTTTTTCTGGCGTGGGTCCCGCTTATGCAGAATCTGCTTCTCTTGTCAGATTTATCCATGTTTTCTTATGTGAGGCAAGGTCTTCATATATCTCAAGATGTCGCAGGTCACACTTGATACGATTCATCCACCTCACTGGGCCTACTTCTGGGTGTTTAACGTAGTGAATCCACCGCCAGGGCTAACCTTGTGACAAGCCTTTCCTTCTTTTGCGCATATGCCCATACAATCGTAACCTGTTTCCCTGCATTTTCTGGCAGTTGAAACTAATTTCATTTGGGCTTATATAGTGTCACTGATGTGACCCTTCACGGCGACTTCTAAGGTGCATCGTAGCATCGCATCCACGGCACTGAGCCTGCGCTTCTCTTTCAGCGTACACGGTCAGCGTTCACTGCCATACATGCTGCTGGAGGATAACGGTCCAACAGTTAAAGGCACCGTCCACCCAAAATGGCGTCGATGAGATTTTGATGCCGATTAGTACAACTCGCGTGGCAAAAGTTGCTTCCGAAGGGAGAAAATTGCTTGAAAAATCGCTCGGATGACAGATTTGCCACGTTGGCTCCTCCCCTTTAAGTGGGCGTGACGTTCGTCCCGCCCATCCGTGCGCGTCCAACCAATCATGGTTCCGAAGAAATCGCTCTGCGGGTTCTAAAAGCTGGGGTTTTTCGTGGTTTTCGCGGATTTCCTACTTGATATTCGGAATTAGGGGTATGAGAAGGCCCTGGAACGGCAAAAACATGGATGTCGAAATTTTGGGTGGACGCTGCCTTTAAGGCTTAGGGCGCACTGACATCTTTTCGTCGCTAATCCTGTTGAGGATCTTCATTTCTTGGGTTATTTACTGTACTATCGCGGCGTAAAAAGGCTTTGATTGCAAGCTATTTCAGAACGAACTTCAGTTATGAAAAGAAGTCTAAACTCGGGATTTTTGCCAAAAGGAAAACCGGAGCCCTGATCATGACGAAATAGCACAGTCAAGAAAATTTGTATTATCGTTGCGCCATGATGCTAAGTAGCTCACAGCAATTGCAAAAGCGGAGCTTAGAGACATTGTCTATGTTGTAAACAAAAGCATGGATAATGTAGCGAAGCTCGAAAATTACGCTACAACAAGATTTCAAAAAATTCTCGCTGGTACCTCTCTGCAAGAAGTCACTCAAGCTTTTTCTATTCCACTTCGATCAAGTTTTCCACCTTTATCTTATCTCCGCTCCTTCCTTAGACGAAAAGAGCTGGTGCCATTCTCAGAAAGCTTCACACGATTTCATTTTTTTATAAGAGAAAGAACAGGACGCAATTTACAAGCTGGTTCGAAGCTTCTTCTTGCGAAGAATTTTTCCATTGTAACTTTTAAACATCCCAAGAGATTATAGGAATGGAAAAAGCAATCAACTGAAAGCCAAGAGCAGCGTCGGGCAAAAGCTCGATATTTTTCATTTTTTGCTTACCGGTTTATCGCTAAATCCGAAAATTTATCAGAGAATCCATACACCGGAGCGGACTTTCCCAAAATCTATTTTGAATTTGGACAAGTGAAATAGTTCTTGTCACGGCTTAGACTTTGAGTCGCTGTAGAGCCCAGAATCCTAACTTTGGCGGCATGCGCATTTTGTGTCGAGGAGGACCCGAACCACAGGGCGTAAGTTTTCAACTTTCCGACCGTATTTCTCCTTCTGACCGCACACGGCCTCCGAGATTTCTACAAAATCTAGCTCTTCCAAGAGCTGCTTACTAGTAATATTCATGTCGATTTTTGTCTACAAAATTGGCGTGCCCTGCATATGATTGCAACACTCTTATTTTTGTTCTGGAACATTCTTCATTTTGGCATACAGCTAACAATATCAGTACTTATTACTGATAGGGAATGACAATAGTTTATTTGTCAACCAAGCTACAATAAATGCGGAAAATCTATATGACAAGAAGGGCTGCAGCCAAAGTGAACTGAATTCTTATCATGTACAATGCAAACAAAGATCAACCGTCAGTTTGTGGGGAATGCATAGGAAAAGAGGAGAACAACGGGATCATGAGACTAGAACTTATTCAAACTGACGGCTTACCCCTCAAACTTGAATTGCAAACCAAATTAAAATAGAGTCGTATGAGAATAGAATACAAAGTTCAAATCTGAATCAAACGACAAATTAATTAGGGGTGAGTGGGTAGAAATCTGCTGATGAAGATACGCAGCTCATTCGAAATAATAATTAGCACTATGCACATAACTACAGATTCCAAAAAAATAGTAAAGCAAGTTCTGATGTGCTTCGGTTCTCATTTGTAATGTTGCTCAACTACACAGCTAAAATTAGCAACTAAGACAACATATGGCACATCGTAGCAATGAACTATAAATGTATCTCAATCTGGGATATAGTATCTGACAACGAAAATGCGTTACAAAGCTATTCAAGTGTAAGCAATGTGAGAAAATGGATTGACAATCCGACAGGGTAACAGCATAGAAGATTTCGAACAAGAAAGAGATTGTATTGTACAAAAAAAAATATGGAAAGATGAAGTTCAGACAATAGCATTTAGCATGACTTGAGATTTTCATTCACCTTAGTGGAATTAGTACCTGCACGTAGGTTACTGGGAATAACCCACTTCTTCCATCCAAACGACCCTCGAACCAGTTTTCGTCGACTTGAGAGATTAACTCGACTATTTGGCCTTCTTTGAGGTTCAACTAAAATGAGCAATAATATCCTTCTTTTCCTATAAAATCTTTCTATTGCAAATGTGCCGGTGCACCATCAAAAGCACCGTCCACCCAGACTTAGGAAGGTAGTGAGATTTTGATGCTATGTAGTAGGAGGTCCCTGATAATTGCCCAAAATCCGACGCAAGGAAATTTTTTAAATGCACCAGAAAGTAAAAGCGGCCAAGGTGACGCTACCAACCAGTATAGGTAGCTGAAGACAATGAGTGCAAAAATGAACTTCAGGGCAGATAAAAATACAAGAAATCTTATATTCAAAATAAAGAAAGGGTTCACGACAATTCTAGATACATGAAATCCCAATCTGGGCCCTCCGTTATCTTCAGACCGCCCACGTTGATGGGCGGAGCCCATGGCCGTTTGTACCTTCTAAAGTAATTTTCCGCTTTGGTATTTATCTTTTGCAACGGGAATTGAGCGATTGCTTGGTCAAGCTCCGCTATTAAACAGACATCAAACAGACAACAGACACAGACGTCAACAGACCAAAACATCACCATCCTCAACTTGGGTGTATGCTACCTTCAAAATGTGAGGGTGAACGCTTCATGTCAACAGTATGTTGATAATTGCTTAAAAAAACACATGCACAACTTCGGCATCAACAATATCCTTAACCTCGAAAAGTATAGCAACCGTCAACAACACATTTTTCACTTTGACCATACAAAAGCCTTTCAAGATAAACCCACTTCTCCATCGTTTTGTGCCTCAAAGTCGAACATCGCTTTTGCAGAAGGCTTCTGTTGTTGCTGCATTGGTGGAGCAGCAGCAGGTGGCATTGATGGAGGCGCCCCATTCGAATACGGTGCTGGCTGCTCGTATCCACCATGTGAACCGATCGACATGCCATCCGTAGCAGGTGACCTAAATGAAGAACTAAATGCAAAAGTTGGTTCTGCAGTAAGATTGGGCAACACACACGAAGAAAACAAGACTCACTGATTTAATAAAGTACAAAGAATCTGTTTCAATAATATGCTATCACTGACTGTAAAAAGAGTATTAGAAAAAGAGGTCCACAATGAAACAAAACTAGTAAGTGGTTCTCGTCGAAAACAGCTGACATTGTAAAACGACATTAGTTCAGTTTTTGCATAATAATAAACTATAATTCAAAGACAAAATATAACATGTTGCTTGCTCTAGTTTCTTACTCAAAAGTGATTACTTGAAGACTGAAACATCACCCCAAAATCACTGGAGAATGCATTTGTCATTGGAAATCTTGGATGCTTGATCAAAGAAGTGGGAAAAAATTAGAAGAAAAAAGAAAAATCATGATTAGAATGCCGTAGTTATGGTTAGTATAGCGGCAAAAAATGGATTAAGAGCTAAACACTGACCTTGAACGGGGTGTCCTGTTAGTTAGTACTGGAAGTGGAACGTGCTCCGTTCGCGGGCGGCATGTAGCTTCCTTTATTCTAAAAGACAGATTACTTATTAGGGAAATGGATTTCCTAACACGCTAACGGAGGCACACTTTACTACGAGTCCCGTTGACGTGTAGACTTCTCGTTTCAATGGATCAAACGCTAGAGACTAAGAAGAAGAAAATATATGGATTAGCAGAACTAGCAAAGAAAACACAACTTGTGGATGCTTCATCGTACCTCGATGAAAGTTGCGCCTGCAACCCCTCAAGTACTTGAGTGGTTTGCCGATGGAACTCCAACTGCGCATCTACCAATGCACGAAGCTGCGACACTTGCTCAACCTAATGCAGGTATTTCACGAACTTTAAATGAAGGATTTACAAAGCCTCGACTTACGTCATTGCTGAGCACATTGTACATAGCCATTTCCGACAACCGCTTAGACTCTTCTAATTTTTCTTCTGCTTGAATGAGCTCATCATCTAAATCATTGTAAACGATAATGGGATAGGTTCCAGTAGCATGTCAGACGCACCTCTTCGCTGTTGACGTTTTTTACAGTCATAATCCAAACGCCTTCCCTTCAGTTTCGTGCGATGATGCTGAAATTATCGCTATTAAGACTCTAACATATTTGAAACCAGAAGTTAGCTTCTGAAATTCCAACAAATTCGGAACCAGACGTTGAAGTCACACCAAACAGTCTCTTACATAAGCAAAATATGTTTTGAAAACAACAATTCATCTCATGAGTAACGGCAATGATTTTGCGAAGGAAGAAGAAGATATAAAAAGAAGCTAAACAGATATGCTCGTAAAAACTTTGTAAGATTCACAAAAACTCACGTTCACATCTTTCAGTTCATTGTTTTGGAGATGGGTTAGAGGATCAAGAAAGTTGTGCTTCACATTCTCTTCCATCTGATATTTGATATCCGCCATATGGCGATATGCTTCTGCCGCTTCCAGAAGCGCCTGCAAGTCGATATTATTCCTCTAACAAAAAAAAAAGAGATGTAATGATGGATAAATTTTTTTAACCTTTCCCAGATCACTCATATCACCTAAAGCACTGCCATACTTGTACATTGTATCTGCCAACATCCCTTCAGTTTGCGGATAGGGAGCTGTTTTTACAGTGCCGCGAACTTTGGAGATGGCACCCATCGTTGCCATCTTTGCTCGGGTCGCTGAACTCATTCAAATGAGAATGTTATTTCAGACAAGGTTAATGACATTTTCGGAAAAAAAATATAGGAACATCAACTTAGCTTTTGGAAGAGAAGCATACCTGGATTAGGTTGCAGATATTCGTTTGTACCTGCGATAAGAGCACTGATTAGCTCATACGTTGTGTCAATATGCTGCAAAGTCAGAAGATAGACACAATCCGATAAAATGGAAAAGTCAAAAAATTACAATGTAAACTATACCTTCTCCATCTCATTGTACTGGTCGTCAAGTTTCGTGGCTTCGGCAGCACCCACCGTTTCTGACAGGTACTAAAACGAAAATACTCTCTTCTAAGTGGATGGCTCTCTATCTGATAAAAGAAATTCCGAATGTACCTGGTTCGCCTTATTGAACTGCTTCCGAAGTCCAGAGAACGACATCTCTGTGGGTAAGTATAACTGCTCAAAGACGCAGTAATATTAGTAAGCCTGGAAAATACTAATAAGCTTTGTGCTCGACAAACTTTATGATACTCAATGAACGACAAAATTGCAAATTATGTCACGAATAAAAGCGATAGTAAGGATAATAGCAGGAATGAGAGCGAATAGCTTGAAAGAAAAGCAGAGAGATGAGAAAAAAATTTACGATTGAGTTTGTTTCATTTTTGTAAAAACGATTCCCTACGCAGAGATTCAAAATGATAATAAAACTGCTAGATTATCATAGCAAAGGAGTTCAGCAAAGATTGCAAGGTTTGTTCTACGTTTTATGTTTACGCGAAAACCAGTGCATATGGATCGTGCAGAGAAGCCGAGGTGGTGGGCACGTTGGGCCGTTCTTTGTAGCCTCAGAAAAAACTAGACGCACTAGCAGTGACGACAATAAACTAGCCGTACGATTACTACGGCCAAATTATCTGCGTCGGACCATATGAACAGAAAAAGAAAACGAGAAGCAAGTCATGCATCTAATCAAAGGATGTAAGAAGTCAGAGATAGTGAGTCTTCGAGAAAGACGACAGAAAATGAGGAAAGCTGATACTAATGCAATATGTCCGTTAGCCAGGATACGATTGTTCAATCGCATCCAAGCATGCATAGTGGTCTTAACTCAAAAAGTCAGATAAAGAAATGGTATGGGAGACTGATAAAGTGTTTCAAAATGCAAATCGAATAGTATATTCTTTAGAGATTAGAGACATATATGTACGGCAAAAATCGATAAGAGGGTAGTATGAAACAATGAAGGTTAGAAAAAGTGAACAGAGCGAGATGTATATATGAAACCCAATACTGACGAGCGGCATTGGTTAACATAAGCCGAGAAAAACCTCACTGCAGATAAATATTTATTGCCCACGTAATTGCAAGGAGTCGAGTGGCGTTTCATCACACAGAAACGTATTACAAAACTCAATACAAGCCTGAGTAGAACTTTTACGACAAAGATTATGGAAATCAAGAAAAATATGTTGTATACCCATCAAATCAATGACAATTTGATTGTAAGGGCTGAAACTAATGGAGATTACATTAGTCACTGACCACCTCACATAAGAGTGACAGGAACTGTGCAAATGATAACCAACAGCAAAACAATTTTTTGTGGACAAAAGACAGATATGTCTTTATTTTACGTAATCACAGAATTACCGATATTGATTTGCAGTTTCTTGCTCCGCGGGGTATCAGCTACATCCAAGACAAAGTCGAGCGACTTACCCTACTTGGAGATATGTAACAGCAGCACATTTCAGCGAAAAATTGCCACAGAAAGAGATTGCATGCCATGGAAGCTTGCTGTCCTCAATGCTGCCACATTCCACATTAAAAATGCAATATCCGATTTTACTTGCACGGCAGCTTGAATTTCGCGATGAAAAATGGACCCAAAAAAGTATCGAATTATGAGCGAATCGAAGCACAAGTGGGCACAACTGGAGTGGGCAAACACAGACAAGCATGTGCTCGTCTGAACATTCTCTTGCTTCCTCTGCTAATGCATTTCACGCATCAATAATTCAATCGATGTCAGAAAATAAAGCACGAAGCGAATATAATTTTACAGACCAGACACCACTTTGCGACCCAATAATTTTCGCAAATACAGAGTGCGATTAGGTGCGAACGCAGGCAGCTGTCGTTTATCCCAGCTCATCTAGAGCTTTGCAAAATCTATACAATTGCAATGAAAAGTGCACAATCAGAGACAGTACACATCGACTTGATGAAAAAAACGCAAAACCGCTTTTATGATGTGACGCTGGCTATTTCCCACCTAGAAGTATGAATTTTATGATTCCGAAAAATGTGCGAAGCGTCGTAAATCTTAGCCGTACAGCAAACATTCCCACAGCAATAAACGCTAGTGCATTTTTTAACCTCCTAGTAGAACTTGCACAGCATTCAGTCACGCATCAAGCTACGTTGTACAGCTATTTCATGTAGCATACGCAGAACCTGTTATCTAAGCTATTCCCGAATATCAAGGTATCTCAAGCGGTTTCGGTGTGATCACGAGTATGGTAAAGCATGCCGGATATGGCTGTCAGAATCACATTTTGGCAAGTTTGCGCAAATAATCTTTGCCTTGATGTTTTGAATTCGCAAACTTTTCCAAACAATCCGAAGCACGACTGTGGCGAAGCAAATGCTAGGATCAGAAAAAAGCTTAGGATAGGGAAGAGATGTCGTCTTTACGATTCATACTTCGTTCGGTTGTGCTCCATAAATAGTCAATAATCAATGATTTGGAAAGAAGTCAATCAATACTGCTATGAAAAAAAAAAGGAACTCGCACCGTTTTGGATTCAGAACACAAGGGGAGGGGAAACTCTAGGCCTGGCTAGGGTAAGTTCCGCGAGTACGGAAAAAGGAAATGAATACGTGAGGAGACCAAAGCAACAATAAAAAAAGAAAATGATCTAGCAGGTTCAAGTAACGAAAACACTTTCCTATTCAAACTGCATCCAGTAGAGCCAAAAATTTACTATCAAGCAAAATGCAACATCTTGGCCCTTGTAACCAGATCGCTTCCTGTAACCGTTACGAGAAAATGATAAAAACTAAATTCTGAAAAACATCGCCACCACAAAAGATACCGAGAACGACATTAAATAAGGATTGAATCAATATTAACGTGTATTAGCAAAGATACAAGTTCGCAGAAATTTGTTAGAAGATTCAAGATCAGCAACCTCTACAGAATAAGATACTCGGGAAAGTGAAAACTAATTAATTGGGCAAAATTTTCTTAAAAATGAGACGCAGTGGACAAATTTCCAAAAAAATCATAGGGAAGCAAAGGTTTGAATGGCATAGGAATTCCGGAGTGCTTGAGCGATAGAGAAGACTCGTAAGTCCATTCTACAGGATATTTCATGGCCTCGGCCAGACTTCGCTCAAAAGCGCCCAAAAGCGCTTAAAAGCGTTCAAAAGCGTCCCAATTTCTCCAATTCTCTCACCTCTCTTCACACGAAAAAGCAGGGAGACATCAGATAAATTTTCGCGCTTTTGGGCGATTTTGGGGCTTTTGGGCGCTTTTAGAGCGGTCTGGCCGGAGCCTAATAGATGCGTTTTCCCTGAGATATATGGCGCTCTTGATGCGCTGCCATGAAACTGGGCACTTCCGTATAAATGGGAAAACTCTGGCCACTCGAAGTCACAAGCAAAGTCTTCGAATGTGAGGCATTGGTAATTCAACATATTGGCCTCTTCTGAGAGTGAAGATGCGAAAGTAACCACTCAAATTCAAAATAGTCGCAACAAAAACACTTCAAAACATCGAGCATGTCGAAGACGCGCATGAAAAAGAATCGATTCTTCGCGAACATAAACGGAAGAGCCCCTTAGGTCGGAGAAGGATGCAAGTTTTCAAAAAAAGAAGTAAAGCCTTTGCAGGTGAAAGGGATTGCAGAAAGGAGACAGCCTAGAGACGCAACAAAAATGCCCACTCCTTTTGAATTTTTGAGCTATTTTCACAATGTGAAGTGACTTGATTTTCAATTAAGAAGAATACTAATAAAAAAGTTTCATGAAAACCATCCCGATATTCAAGAACGAGGAGAATGGAATGAACTTCTCTAGAGGAAAACGGAAAGCAAGAAGAACATAAAGTGGAGATTCCGGTTGAAGAGAGTAGAGCAAGAATCGATGCGGTGATGGACTGGGTGCGCCGAGGCAACTAATGATGAATCTACGTTTCGGCATAACAAACATAGATATCGGACTCGGATAAGCAATGTTCGTTCCAGTTTGTGAAGCAACATACCAGATCCATACAAAAAACTCAACATACCAGACTCATTCCAACTAAGTGCAACAGAGCTCAAGATCTCACACATATTCAAGAGAATGATGAGCCTTTTTTTCACAGGATGATTAGTTGCTCACGTATAGAATCTATTATGACAGTTGATAACTGCATTGTTTGCCCAATGCGGGCCAAATGACTGAAAAATGCGATAGGATCATATACGGATGCTCAAAAGAAAGAACGAAACGAATCAGTGTGATTTTGTTTACGTAATGCAGACAAAGGATACGTTTACAATGACATCATTGCGAAGATCCAACCTAGAATGTTTGGAATGAAACATTAAGAAGTCTTTGCGAATGAGAAAGAACGGGAGAAGGAATGTATCGCAAATCTTTTATATAAGAGAAAACTGTACAGCATCGGCAAGACGACTCCTTTTTGATTTAGACTTTTCATTTTATTCTGAACCGCTTTAACTGATTCATATTCAACAGGAGACTGTAAAGAATGAAGGGGGTCAAATATAGTGAGTAGAACCTGTTGAGTAGCCGCATTTTCGGCATGAGTCAATTTAGATGCCGGAAAAAACATCATGAAGCCTGTCTGCCTTCTTTATCTCTCTTCAAAGCGTTGCATTCTCCTTCGTGACCGACCTACCGAACTGGAAAAAGTGTGAGAAGAATCAAGAAAAGAAATGTAAATGATGTCACAAGATTAATCACCAGTAGCAGTTTTTTATCTCAGACAAAAAAATGTCTGCGCCACTCACTCGATCTTGTGGGCAGATTGAGTAAGCACGCTGCAACGAGATGGCCTCGAACAATACTCGATCCAACCTCTAACAGACCATCGATATTTGCTAAACAGCTGACCATTCGATTCAGATTTCAACGACTTGACAAGCGAGTACAAAATCAGGACGCTGGCGATGGGATAAAATCGCTGACGTCATAATGTAACAAGACATTCATCCATCAAATGGTGCAGAAGCCATCAATTTAAGTGAGCTAGTAACTCTATCCGATGGCTTTGGAGGCCTTCACAGAGTCAACTGAATCAAAGGACACTCACCAGAGGAGAAGAGATTCCAGTCCCTACATAAAAAGATATCATGTGCAGAGTAAAAAGCGTTAAAGCCAGGCAAGCAAGCAATTCAATTAAGTACGTGTGACTAGTTACAAATAGCTAGAATCGATGTTGAGCATGTTGGGAGGGAGCGTAGGATCGGAACGGAAGGATTAGTCTCTGTTTGATGAGCTCAAAAAAGTATCCTTTGAAATAGGAGCGAAGGCTTTTAGGTTAAAAAGATCACGAATTTATTTTTGCGAAACAGAAAAAGCTTCTATTTCGTGGCAAAAAGACACGCGCTTTCGTCATAAGCAACCTGTTTTAGCTGAGCTGACAGCCCTCTATCAGGTGTCCGATCGATGCGCGTAATGATGAGAACTCACTTCACTATCAAAAGCTGGAACGTGAGAAAAGCAATAAAAAGAAATGAGGAATAGGTGAAAATAGCCTACAGTCAAAAACGTACACATTGACAGGTGGCAGCAAACTTGCACAAATGGCCTGGTTCCTGTCAAAATACTGATTGCGAAAAAAAATGAATGGCAGCGCCTCTCGCTATTTGGCAAAGGCGATGATTTGGAAAAAAAGTTGTGTTTTACCTATAAGGAAAGTAATAAGATCTGCCTTCAGATAACAGATAATAATACACTTAGAAAAGATGAGGATAGCGCAATGATAACTCCATCAGAAAAAAAAAATATAACCAAATCCACTAAAGGGAAGAACGATATTTCTTTCGCAGATAGAACTTCCCAGCACAGCGCAAGACAATAGTGTGATAATCACATAGTGAATCGGTTTGACATGCAACAACTCCATTCAGAGATGTGAAAAAAGTAAACGCAGCTATTAAGCTCAATAGCTCTGCGACTTAACTGACCTTGTGACAAGCGTAAGAAAAAGCAAATAGCGTACATACTCAGACAAATCTGCGCGCAGGCGGCGCGCACTGAATCAGCGAGCGATGTACCTTCCCGCCGCCTGTGTGTGCAGTGCGCGCCGCCTATGGATTGAAGGGCCGCCGCCTGCGCGCTACGAGGCAAATTTTGGCAGGAATCTGCTCGGATTTTTGTTGTCGGTCTGAATATCTTATGCTTGTTGGACAATATGGTTTCACAACTATTTTATTAACGAATAATATCTACAATTTTCAAATTTGACAGGTTTTAACACAAATTGCAACAAAATACAGTATTTACAGGATAAGGCTGTCTTTGACAGCTGGCATTCAATACTATTAGCTTAGGTAGTACTTACAAAATTCACAAACTCAAAGTACAACAACAAGGTATTTACGTTCAAATGTGATATCAACAGGACGTGTGTATGAAGTAATGAATACAATGAAGTTGATAGTAACTAAAGCAACAGTATGACGAGATAACTTGAAATAACTGCCAGTAAAATCACTAAGTACTTTGATGAATAAACTGAACAGTATACATAGATATGAATGCATAATATATGTACAGACTTAGAGGAATAAAATATGAAAATGCGATAGCAATGAACAAAACGCGGGCATGCTTGATCAGCCAGAATTGAATGCTCCTGGAATTCATATACTCAATTCAATTACAGGAATAAAACAATTGGATGGCGGAAATATGATGGGTATAAGCATGAAAATTGGGATGAATGATGAGACATGAACAAATCTAAGACATGAAAAATCTGGATCAGCCTCGTCCTCGTTAGTTCTCGTAATGGTTTTTGTTCTATCAAGAGTTGATTCCATCAGTCGGTCTAGGCGCATGCTGTGGCGCTGAAATACACGCTATTAACAAACTGAAGAGAAAAAGCAATAAATATTGACGAATGCAGAAAAAAATGCATTTTTTCACCTCTTCAAGATAAATAAAGTCAGGGCTGAGGTCCCACGACCATAAGTTGTCTTGATTCTTGGTATTTGGAGTCATTGTAGATCGGTGGCTGAAACACAATGATGTTTTTAAACAAAATGCCTACTTTGGCTTCAAAAAGCAAGACTTACTCTTTTGAGGTCGACTTTTTTTCGGCATTCGCACATAGCCATCATTGTACTAAGGTAGTTGTGACCTGAATTAAACTTTGCTTTTATCTTGTGAAAAAAGAAGAGAAAGAAATAGCAACGGAAAGAAACGAAGGAGGCGCAACGACGCAAGAAAGCTTATTGATTGAAAATGAGCGTCCCTGTGTCACGGGGTCAATATGATTAGGAACCAGAGGGAGGATAAAAGATATGGAAAACTGACTGAGAAACAAGAGTGAATATGGATTAAATATAAGAAGACGCGCTAAAAAAGGCAAAAAAAATCGCATACTTGATTTCAAAACAATTTAGAAACAGAAAAAAGAGGTGAAACAGCAGAGTAAAAGTGAGGTAATAAACAACACAATACTTTGTATGAAAAAAAACAAGGAGGAACGAGGAGAAACAATTATCTGCAAAAAATTCTGCATTTGCGCGCGGAAGCAGCGTCCTCCTCCGCTTACGTGAAGCTACAGAAAGTTCATTGCGCGCCGCCTGCACGCACATTGTGTCTGCGCGCCGCCTGCGAACATGCATTGCGCGCCGCCTGTTGGCTGAAATCAGTGCGCGCCGCCTGTACGGTGCAAGGTCACGCCCACAAATCACGGCCCGCCGCCTGCCCTGCTGGCCGTGAGTGCGCGCCGCTTGCGCGCAGAATTGTCTGAGTAGACGTGGACTGAGTCGCAGTTACACGCAAATTTAATTCACTCGCCGCACTGTAATCAATTTACATGGCTAATGAAAGTAAAAGCTGCGGTTAATTCTAGGCAAAGTGAAAAAGATTCACGCCAAGTTGCAAAGACCTCACTGGCTCAAATTCTTAGAAAACTTTGATCAAAAACGCAACTTTGAGCAAATACTGACAAAACTCCCCAGATTCGCATAAAATCCCGAGATACGATAGAATGAAAGAACTTATCCCTGCTGTCACATCATCATCCTCAAATGAGCAGCAGTACCAAAACATACATGAGAAGAAGACTAAAAGTCCTGCGTTGACAATCTGCAGATTTGAGAACGCGTGGCAGAAATAAAGAGGGCGCGATTGCGTACAGCACGAATTTCGAGATTATAGGTTCGGCTGATGAAAGAGAGTCCGGCCACGGCTCCGATATAGAGACCATATGATTAGAGGAGGATCTGGAACACACATCAGTAAAGCTGCTTGTGCTTTCTGCAAATTCAATAAGTCTTATATGTCATTCTGTCTATGGGACTAAGTCTAAGAGGATGATGACTCAATTCTAGCACAAAGCTTGACCTTTTTTCATGTTATGGTGCGAGCAATGCAGGGCTTGAAAGTACAGCTTATTGTTAGTAGATTTGGGTCTTGATATAGTGTTCTTACTTTGCAGACAACACTCAAGCGTGGAAAATGGCTGTGGGGCGCAAAACTAGAAATTATGCGCTGTGGACTTTAACTCAACAATTGCAGCTTGATAAAATATATGCTCGAATTTTAACGTGAAGCCCCGCATTGTGATCCGGAAAGCTGTGAAAGAGATAAGGCTAGAGGTATATGCCCATGGATTCAACTGGCTTGGCGCTGGAAGGCGGGGCTTCGTGATCTAATTAAGGATTGGTAATGATCAGAGAGCACGCGCGAAGAAGACGCAGACTGCGTCGCGGGCGCGAGCGGCCAATTAGGTCACAAAGCCCCGCAGTCCAGACGCCAAGCCAGTTGAATCAAAGGTTATCCATAGGCGAAGGTTTGTCTTACTGTTCGATACTCGCACGAACATGTAGGCTAATGTCTTGAAAAAGGTTCACCGAATTTTCGACTACTTCTCTGTGCTATCGCAAATTAGGTTTTGGATTTCACGCTTCCTGAAACTTTACAGAATCATAAAATCCGGGATTTCTGCTGTAGATAGCTCATGTTGCAGCTTCAAAGATGCTTCATCCTTAGCGCTTTGCAGAAAAAGAAACAACCTCCAAAACAAAAATCAGAAAACGGCGCGAACATTCCAAGAGGGGGGATGCGAGTGACAAGCAAAGTCGGACCTAACATATGTGTACCCTATTTTCAGATGTATAAGCCGGGGGGTTACATCGACCAGCCCGAACACGCCAAAGGACCTCGCAACCAAAGGACCCTACACCGTGCTGCGTATTGCCTGAAGGAATCGTGCGGCATAAGGATCGCTTCTCGAAACACAATGAAGCGGCTGAGCAGCTCGTTTAAAACTTTGAAAAAGTGCGGCTTATACACCTGATAATAGGACGAATTCAGTTAATCCTGCATTCAAAAGACCTTCATACGAATAAGACTTTTGAATTTCTTCCAATACCCGGTGGTGATATGACTCTTTCCTTGGCTATATCCATTGCTTTGAAGTATTATAACTACTGAGCTTCTTGATTACTTTTTTAATAGCGCTTACACAAATAAGACATGTGAAAAAAATTCAAAACACATCACGGTGGCAGCTCCCTAATGCAATCATGTGCTGCAAAATGTGCGATGGTAAGACCACATACAGGTGTCCCAAAAGTAAGTACACACTTTTCAATCGTTAATAACTTTCTTCCCGTTGTGTCTTTTTCCACCATTTAACTACCATTCTGTAGAGGAGGCTTCAACTTAGATTTGCAGTATCAAGCGAATCGCCGATCGCTCTTCGTTACTGTAGGATTACTGTAGGAGCTTCGACAAGGATTCTAGGCCATTGAAAGCCGTTTTCTGCCTAGGAACAAAACCAAACAAGCCAAAAACTCTTATACTATAGTAATGGAAGCCGCTAATTTCGAACATAACATAAAGTCTTTTCTT